ACAAGAGGAGGAAATAAAAGGCATCCAAATTGGAAAAGAAGAAGTAAAGTTATCCTTATTTGCAGATGACATGATATTGTACATAAAGAACCCAAAAGACTCCATTAAGAAACTAATTGACTTAATAAATGAATTTGGCAATGTAGCAGGATACAAAATTAACGCCAAGAAATCCATGGCATTTCTATACACCAACAGTGAAACTACAGAAACAGAGACTAAAAAAGCAATTCCATTTACCATCGCACCAAAAAAATTAAGATACCTAGGAATAAATTTAACTAAGGAAGTAAAGGATCTATATGCAGAAAATTACACGACATTGAAAAAAGAGATAGAGGATGATGTAAGGAGATGGAAGAACATACCATGTTCATGGATTGGTAGAATCAACATTATCAAAATGTCCATACTTCCTAAAGCAATCTATAGGTTCAATGCACTCCCCATTAAAATACCAAGGGCATATTTCACTGACCTAGAAAGAACTCTCCAACAGTTCATTTGGAACAATAAAAGACCCCGAATAGCCACAGCAATCCTGAGAAAGAAGGGTAAAGTAGGAGGGATCTCAATACCGGACTTCAAACTGTATTACAAAGCCACTGTTCTCAAAACAGCCTGGTACTGGCACAAGAACAGACATATAGATCAATGGAATAGAATCGAGAACCCAGATATCAACCCAAATCAATATGCTCAATTAATATTTGACAAAGGAGGCACGAATATACAATGGAGTCAAGACAGTTTCTTCAATAAATGGTGTTGGGAAAATTGGGTAGACACATGCAAAAGAATGAAACTAGATCACCAACTTACACCATACACAAAAATAAACTCAAAATGGATACAGGACTTAAACATCAGACGGGAAACCATAAAAATACTAGAAGCATCCTCAGGCAGCAAAATCTCAGACGTATGCCAAAAGAACTTCTTCACTGATACTGCCCCTAGGGCAATGGAAGCTAAAGAGAAAATAAACAAATGGGACTACATCAAAATAAAAAGCTTTTTTACAGCAAAAGAAACCATCAACAAAACAACAAGAAAGCCCACTGTGTGGGAGAACATATTTGCAAATAACACCACTGATAAAGGTTTAATCTCTAACATCTACAGACAGCTGATACAACTAAATAAAAGGAAGATGAATGATCCAATTAAGAAATGGGCAAGGGACCTAAATAGAATATTTTCAAAAGAAGACAGAAGGAAGGCCAAAAGGCACATGAAAACATGCTCAAAGTCACTAATTATACGAGAGATGCAAATCAAAACAACAATGCGGTACCATCTCACACCTGTCAGAATGGCCAACATCAACAAATCGACAAACGACAAGTGTTGGCGAGGTTGCGGAGAAAAAGGAACCCTCGTGCACTGCTGGTGGGAATGCAGACTGGTGCAACCACTGTGGAGAACAGTGTGGAGTTTCCTCAAAAAACTGAAAATGGAACTCCCATTTGATCCAGTAATCCCACTCCTAGGAATATATCCCAAGAAACTAGAAACACCAATCAGAAAGGATATATGCACCCCTATGTTCATAGCAGCACAATCTACAATAGCCAGAATTTGGAAACAGCCTAGGTGCCCGTCAGCAGATGATTGGATCCAAAAACTATGGTACATCTACACAATGGAATACTATGCTGCCATAAAGAAGAAGGAATTCTCATCATTTGCAGCAACCTGGATGGAATTGGAGAACATCATGCTGAGTGAAATAAGCCAATCAATGAAAGAGAAACACCACATGACCTCACTCATTTGTGGATAATAAAGAGCATTATAAACTGATGAACCAAAAGATAGATATAGAGACAGTAAAGCAACAAGCAGATTGTCAAATTACAGCGGGGAGGGGAGGAGGATCTGGGGGAGATAACAGATCAACCGAAGGACTTGTATACATGCATATAAGTACAACCAATGGACATAAAACTATGGGGAGGGAGGGGATATGGGGGAGGGAGGGAGGGGGCAAAAAAAAATCATTAAAATATGTAAAAATAAATAAATAAATAAATTTAAAAAAAATAAATAAATAAATAAATAAATAAAAAGAAAAAAAAAAAAGAAAAAAAAAATAAAATAAAAGATAAGATAGCCTGGCTAGCATGGCTCAGTAGTTGAGCATCAACCTATGAACCAGGAGGTAATAGGTTTGATACTAGTCAGGGAACAGGCCCAGGCCCAGATTGCAATCCCTCGATCCCAGATAGAGGGAGTGTAGAAGGCAGCTAACTAATGATTCTCTCTCATCACTAATGTTTCTATCTCTCCCTCTTCTTCCTCTATGAAATCAATAAAAAAAAAAATTTTAAAGACAAGTTTCAAAAATGTACACATTATTTGCGCAAAATTTATAGGAATTTATCCTAAAAAATTAATATGTAGGAATAAATGATTAAGGATATTTAGTATAGCACAGTTGATAATACTAAAAAACTAACAGTGGTCTAAATTTTCAACAGAGATCCTATCTAATAAGAGAGTAATATGCAAATTGACCATACATTTGCTACACCCACAAGCCATGCCAACCAGCCAATATGGAGCGACTATGAAAATTAACCCAACCAAGATGGCTGCAGTCACAGAGAGAGCAGGAGGCTTGGGTTTCTGAGGCATGGAAGAAGCCAAGCTTTCCACCTGCCCTGGCCTGCCTTGGCCTCCACTTAAGTCTACAAAGTTTCAATTATAGAAGATAAATAAATCTCAACAAAAATGGCTGCGGCCACTGAGCGAGCAGGAGGCTTAGCTCTGCTCAAGACTACAAAGTTTCAATTATAGAAGATTAGTAAATCCCAGATACCAGAGCCTCTGCTTGGGTTGCTGACGGATATGGCAATCCTGCAAACCACGACAGGCCCCTCACCCAGGCTTCCCCATGGCCCAAGTGAACCCCCACACTGATCCGGGACACCCTTCAAGGAAAACCAGCCAGCCCCCACCCGTTTCACCCGGCCTCTATCCTATCTAATCCTTCTATCTAATAAAAGAATAATATGCAAATTGACCATCACTCCAACACACAAGATGGCTGCCCCCATGTGGTCAAAGATGACTGACTCTATGTGGACATAAGATGGCCGCCACAAGATGGTCAGCAGGGGAAGGTAGTTGGGAGGAACCAGGTCTGCAAGGGAGGACAGTTGTGGGTGATCAGGCCAGCAGGGGAGGACAGTTAGAGGTGACCAGGCCGGCAGAGGAGGGAAGTTGGGGGTGACCAGGCCTGCAGGGAAGAACAGTTGAGGCAGACCAGGCCTGCAGGGGAGGGCAGTTAGGGGCAGACAGGCTGGCAGGGGAGCAGTTAGGCATCAATCAGGCTGGCAGGGTAGTGGTTAGGAGGTGATCAGGCTGGCAGGCAGAAGCGGTTAGGGGCAATCATGAGGGATCCAGCCTAAATAGGCAGTCTGATATCCCTCGAGGGGTCCTAGAATGGTGAGAGTGCAGGATGGGCTGAGGGATACATACACACCCCTGCACAAATTTCATGCACCGGGCCTCTAGTATTCAAATAAATGCACTGAAACATAATAAATGCATTTTAAACTATAAAACTTTACACGTATTGAGAAAGACAGTCAAGACAACTTATTAAGAAAGTGGGTAACATTACATTATGCATAACTGCTTACACATAAGAAAACTGACAGTTATCACTAGGAAATGATACCTTGGGTTTAAAGTTTTTGCTAATCTATTTTCTAATTTTACTACACTAAAGTACAATGGATTTACTCTATAATCTTTAAAAATTTTTATTTAAATATTTATTTTTTAAAAAACAAACAATAAATTTCTGTTTAAAAAATAAAAATGACTTCAGTGTAGATATTTCAGATTTTTTACAAAAGGAGAAACTGGAACAAACTATAAGTTTAAGAGTATTCTTTTAAAGTTGCCATTTTGCTGTTTTGGGAATATCCCATTTTTTTAAAAAAACTTCCTTCCTTACATTTCATTTAAAAAGAAATTATTCACACTGGTATTAACACAGCTCTAAGCTGTTTTTTCCCTATCCAGATCTGAAAGTTATCTTAACTCTCTGACTACATGTAGAGAATTAAGCTATCAATTTTTTAATTCAATGTAAGAAAATATTTTTTTAATATATTTTATTGATTTTTTACAGAGAGGAAGAGAGAGGGATAGAAAGTTAGAAACATCGATGAGAGAGAATCATCGATTAGCTGCCTCTTGCACACCCCCTTCTGGAGATGTGCCCGCAACCAAAGTACATACCCTTGACGGGAATCGAACCTGGGACCTTTCAGTCCGCAGGCCGACGCTCTATCCACTGAGCCAAACCTATTTCGGCTCAATGTAAAAAAATTTTTTTACTTATGCTTTCTTAAAATGATTACTAGAAAAGTGAAAACTTATCAACAACCACAACGGTCAGCTGAAGTCTGAGTTTTCTCTCTAAAATATAAGTGACAGTATGCCTATATGTCCTTCTTTCTCACTATGCCTCTATGGCAGCGAATTATTTTTATCACATAAATTTTTACAGTAAGGCAACAGTTTCCATGGAAACCACAAGGCAAACATCCATTATTGCTGTCAAGGATTTTATGAGCACACCTAAGTTGAAGTTACTGCTTACTTTCTCTTATTAATATTTTTAAATTGACCAATGGTTAGCTACTCTGATTCTGGTTTTGTTGCATATGTCTCTCTAAACAAATCAAAAGATAAGTAACATAGAAAAATGCTGTGCCCTTCTAGCAACAAAATGAATCTATAGAAACCAGGAGAGGAAAAGAAAGACCCAGAAAATTATCAAGCCAGTACACATGCCAGTCACTGTTATCTCATACAGGAGAGCAAATCAGAACAGAAAGCAGTGAGCCACTTAAAATACCTAAGAAAAAAATTCCCTTCTGCTAGCTTGGTGGAGCACATAAATTTATTTAGGCCAAGATGCTGACTAATCACAATAAAAAGACAGTAAGTTGTAACAATTGAAAAAAATGGTCACTCACCTCTCTCAACATGTTGTTCTCTTTTTCCTTCTGCTCCAAAAGGCTTTCTAGGTGGTGGACATGCATCTCTGCCTCTGCCAGTCGTCTTGTTCTCTCATGGTCTTCCTCAGTAGCTTTAGCAGAGAGTCCTTTGCTCTGCAACATCTCCAGAAGCTTCTTGATAGATTCATCCCGAGCATTCAGGGTTTGCTTCTGAGTCTCAATACGCAGTTCCATTTCTTCCAGAGTCTTTCGAAGAAGAAATAGCTCTTTGGCCTGTCTTTCATGTTCAGCATGTAGCCTCTGGAAATTCTCCTCCGTCAGCTCTGCCACACAAGGTTCACCAGTCCGACTGCTACTATCTTGCTGAAATAACTGGTTTAGGTCCCTTTGGATCCGTAATTCATCCTGGAGAGCCTGAATTGTCATTTGCATGTGCTAGAACCAAGACAAAAAAGAAAACACCATATCAGCTTTCCTCCTCAAGCAGCAAAAACAGAGCCTAAAGGAGAGTCAGAAAGTAACTACTAGGGCTCTCAGAACCCTGCAATTAGCCAATCAGGATCCATGTTATTCAGTATTACATTGTCTTAAAAAAATTTTTTTTGAGATAATCTGTAAAATATCAATAATTTGTTATGTTTATTCCCAAAAGGAAACAAGTATGGCAGCTCCTCACTTTGCATAAGCCATGACAAAATGAAGACACTGTTCAAAATAATTGAAGATATTATTAAATAGAACTGAGTGGAAGGGAGAGAAAAGATACGGGAAATACACAAAAATACAAACATATCAGACAAAAAAAATTCACCTTAATTTAACATAATTTTTCTCTAACTAAAAAAATTTAGAATGCAGGATAAATTGGTATTCTTTAGTTACCTAAACCCCACACTATTCAGCATTTACTCCTTAACCTCTTCTTATGCAGTCTTCTCTGCCCTCTCCATCTCCCATGTCTAGTTAAACTCTATTTATCCTTTCATTCTTAGGTCAGGCATCATCTCCTTTAGAAAGTCTGTTCTGACTCCCCAAACTGAAAGAAAGGTTTAAAAAAAGGGAGAGAGGAATATGTGGAGGAAGAAAAGTACAGAAAAGACAGTACCCCAATAAGAAATTACAATAGTAAAAATATCATACTAAGCAATGTCAAGATTGAAGTGATTCATTCAATTAAAAATCAAAATCAAAATAAGTTTTAAAAAATCTTTAAAGTACAACTGAGCAACAAAGGGGTGCTATAAGAACCATTTCTACAGTGTTTTAAACTTGAGAATGCTCACTAGTAACAAACAGCCATTGCAGAACTATAATGAACCATAAAAATACTGTTCATTCCAAAAGCATTTTAATATCAAGCTCACTTCTCTCCCAGTTTTCTACAACCCAAAGTTTCAAACACCTGGTAAGGTTAATGAGGTTAACAAGCTTTCCGAATTTAGTCACTGAAATACTGGTAAGTGACTTAACAACAAGATAGAAGGGTGAAGAAAAAACAGGTAGGTGAAATCATCAGCTCTGGAAAGTGTTAACAGCTAACATTGGTAGTGCCATTACTGGAAGTGGATTCTATTGAATGAACACACATTGTAGGCAAGACGCTTGGCTATGTGAAGGCAATCTCTGCTGACATTCAGCTGCAGCACACAATGTAAGGCCTATTGAAAGGGGGTTAATGTCTGTGTCAATCAGAGCTATATCAACACTTAAGTCACTGTGTACCCAAAGCTTATAAGAAGCTACAGATTTTTTTTTTCCATTCCCTTTTCCTCCAGAAAAATAGAAGTGAGAAAGTCTGATATTGAGAGTACAAATAGATCATGACCGTACAGTATAATAGAAAAGCATGCATGAACAAAGTTATTACTTAGGATGCTTTCACATATACTATAACAACAAAATTTAAAGTTGAAATAAACCCCAAGAATATTATTTACAGAGATGATTCTTTCTGGGAGAGAAACCACCACAAAACATACAAACATCAGCAAGCCAGAATGAACTGACCAAAACTATTCACATCTTTGTTCAAGACATATTTTTAGTAATGTACTTTCCTATAAAAATAAAATCTAGAGGCTTCCAGTCAAGATGGTGGAGTACGTAACGCTGTGCTCGTCTACTCCCATGATCACATCAAAATTAAAACTAAATTATACAATCACCATTCATGAGAAGCAGCTGAGCAGAACCCTGTAACTAAGGATGCAAACAAGCCACAATGAAACTGACAGGGAGGGTGGAGATGTGGAACACGCAGGTCCCACACGCAGGCATGGTGGTTAGGAATCAAGAGGAATATCTAGACTGCAGTGGTTCCCCCTGAGGACCAAGGGGTCCCAGCTCCACTTCAGGCTCCCCAACCTGGGATATCAGTGCCAAGAAGAGGAGTCCCCATAACATCTGGCTGTGAAAACCAGTACACATTGCATCCATAAAGGATAGGGAGCAGCTGGAGACTGAGGTGAATCTCTTTAAAAATCCACAAATTCACTTGTCCTAAGTTCCAGCACAAGGGTAGCAGTTCAAGAAACATCAAGGACAAACTTCAGAATAAGGGATGGAGAAAAAGGGGTTAAAGCAACTCTCTCTGGGGACAACAAAAATTCTGGCAAGTGCCACTATTTCTTGGTAGACTCAGCATAGGCAAGTGCCAAATCTGTGCTCTCCATTAACCTGGCTGAAACCATTCACTCATCCTGGTGATCCCCTGAGACCCCATCTCACCCAACTCTGAGCCTGATCCTCGAGGCTCCTCTGCAGGAACGACCTGCTTCAAATCATACCACACACCTTTCCAAAATCTCATAAAGGTGCATAAACTCTATACAAGCAGTGACTGGCCTTAGCGTGCCTTACAGTTCTTAACAGCTCCAAGCAGAGAAAAAGGGACAAACCAGTATAAACTTGCACTGTAATTCCCATCAGGTGGCTCCAAACCTGTCATAAGCAGTGGTCATCTTCAGCTGAAACGTAGTTTCAATGAAGCAGCCGCAAGCCTGGCACAAGTGGCAGCTGGCCTCAGCTCATACTGTGGTGCCCACCTAGGCCAGAAAGTGGCAGCCAGTCTCTGTGCTCAGTGTAGCCTCTCCCAGGTGCCTAAAGTCCAGCAAAAGTGGCAACCACTCACAGATAACTCTATAGCTCCTACCGAGGCCCCAAGCCAGATACAAGCAACAGTTGACCTGGGCCTGCACCAAACCACCTCCCAAAAGACAGAGGCAACATACCAATGGCCAGCTACAGATCACACAAGAGCACCTTCCAACCAGCTCCACAAACAATGCTCCTGGAGGACAAACATGGCTGACACAAACAGGGTCAGCTGCCAAACAACAGCTTGTCTATTGTACTTACAGCCAGCCCTCATAGCCAGTCAGTCAGAGGGTCAATCACACCCCCTGAACTGCCAGCAGCAATCAAGTCTCAACTACAGCAGGAGGGCACACACAACCCACACAAGGAAAACCCATGAAGGACCCAGCTCAGATAACCAGAGAGACTGCACCACTTGGCACCACAGGACACCTTATACATAAGATACCTCTGTCAAGTACAAGAGACATAGCAGGTCAACCAAATAAGTAAAAACAAAACAAGGAGTGGGCCAAAATGAGAAGACAAAGAAATATAACCCAAATGAAAGAACAGGACAAATTTCCAGGAAAAAAAAGAAAAAAAGAAAAAAGAAAAAAAAACAGACAAAATGGAGGCAAGCAATATACCAGATACGGAGTTCAAACCAATGGTTGTTTTTGTTTTTTTTTTAAATCAATCTTTATTGTTCATATTATTACAAAGGTTCCTTGTTTCTTCCCCCCTCCACCAGGTTCCCACCCCACCCTCTGCCCCCTCATCCTCATCCATTGGTGCACAGTTTATGCTCAGTCTCTTCCTCCCTCCCTTTCCCCGATAGTAAATCCCCTCCCAGACAGCAAATCTGTTACTTAGCATTTTCTCATATCAATAATACCTCCACATGCCCAATGATACACTTCACACAAAAGACATTTCCAAATAGGACAACCAGCCTCATCCAGGCCCCACCCAAGGCACCCACAGATCAACACCCCAGCACTATACTAACTCAACACATCCAGATATAAGCCTTCATCACTTGATTCAGCAGACCCTCAAGTTCCCGCAAAAGTTTCCAGCCATGTCTGAGAGGCAGCCGTGGGGCAGGGGCAGGTGAGGAGCGAGCTGTTTCGGGCCAGGCTGCTCCGGGCCTGGCCTCTGTTGCTCTGCAAACCAATGGTTTTAAGGATGTTTCATTAACTTAGGGAAAAAAGAGATGAACTCAATGGGAACTTCAAAAAACATACAAAGGCCGAAACCGGTTTGGCTCAGTGGTAGAGCGTTGGTCTGCGGACTGAAAGGTCCCGGGTTCGATTCTGGTCAGGAGCATGTATGTTGGTTCCGGGCACATCCCCAGTAGGGGGTGTGCAAGAGGGAGCTGGTCGATGTTTCTCTCTCATCGACGTTTCTAGCTCTCTGTCTCTCTCCTTTCCTCTCTGTAAAAATCAATAAAATATATTAAAAAAAAAAAACATACAAAGGACATAAAGATCATTAAAAAAAAGGACTGAAGAATACAATATCTGAAAAGAAAAAATACAAGAGAAAGACTAAAAAGCAAATTAAATGAAGCAGAAGATTAAATCAGTAATTTGAACATAAGATTATGGAAAACAACTATTAATAGGAACAGCAAAAATATTTTTTTTCTAAGAATGAGTAAATGAAGGGATTCAATTAAAAATAAAATCAAAATAAGTTTTAAAAAATCTTTAAAGTACAACTAAGCAACAAAGGGGTGCTATAAGAACCATTTCTACAGTGTTTTAAACTTGAGAATGCTTACTAGTAACAAACAGCCATTGCAGAACTATAATGAACCATAAAAATACTGTTCATTCCAAAAGCATTTTAATATCAAGCTCACTTCTCTCCCAGTTTTCTACAACCCAAAGTTTCAAACACCTGGTAAGGTTAATGAGGTTAACAAGCTTTCCGAATTTAGTCACTGAAATACTGGTAAGTGACTTAACAACAAGATAGAAGGGTGAAGAAAAAACAGGTAGGTGAAATCATCAGCTCATTCCCAAGGGGACCTAGCAGATGGCATGGCAAGAACTGTAAGCAGCATGTTGACTGTTGTTCTTGTTGCTGTTGGGACTGAATCCAGGAGATAGAAAGCTGGAGACCTTAATACCAAAGCCTTGGACATGCCATTGCAAGGCCTCCTCCAGGGCTCCTGTATATTTTTATTTTACTTACTATCATTGATTTAAAATGTATTCATTAAAAATAATTTTTAGATTTTAGGCAACATAGAAATGTTAAATATGTAATTATTACTTTATGTACCTTTGCTTTTCTTTTAATTTTACCCTTCCCCCATGTCATATAATGTTTATTTTTCAACTAGAGGCCCAATGCATGAAATTTGTGCAAGGGGCTTGGCCCTGGCAGCCCGCTTTGTCCGGAAGGTCATCCAGAAGGTCATTCGGCTGCCCAGTCTAATTAGCATATTATGCTTTTATATTATAGATTAGATTATATTCAATATTATTTTGTATTAGTTTCAGGTATACTGCAAAGTAAAGTGTCCCCTTAATTTTTTTGGTACCCACCAGGCCCCATATATACAGATCACAGTACAACTGACTGTACTCCCTACGCAATCATCTACTACTAATAGAGTTAGTGTGCACCCTTTTGGTGGTGCTCAGACATTGATAGGCAAGTCGTGTTTTAGGCGCTTACACTAGCCACACATATCCTTTGCATTAAACATATCTTATATTATCCTTTTGAATTTATTCAACTAACTTGTTGAAATAATTCCAATGAATTGGAACTGCTCTGGATAAAACTACTCAATTTACTAGTAAATGTAAGTCCAAAACTTAGCTTTCCTCCTCATAGATCCTTCACATTAATTTCCCTCCCAGTGTTTGTGAGAGTTCAAACTATACAACACTGTTCAAAACTATAGAATATTAGGTGTCAGTGTCTTTATTGTGCTCACTGTGACACTGCAGAGAAATTATTTTTCATCACTGCTCAGCAAAAATCATCATTTGTATTTATTCATTTTATTTTTTCCAGTTTCCTTGAATTATTATAATGTCTCTGTGTTACTGGTTTTTGAGAGCTTGCTTATGACTAAAGATGTTAACCATTTCTCATGCATTGCAAGTGAAATACCATGTTTTTTGTTACTATTTTACCCTGGTGTTTTACTTTTTGGTTGTATCAAACTGGGTATTAAATATAATCATGTTCTGTTTTTAAAAAATAGATAAATATAGGAACAAAAGATTCTCACTAACAAAAGCAAATACGTGATAAAAGCAGTAGATCAACCAATTATATTGCTAGTACAAAAAATAAAAGATAAAAATAGAAAGATGATGTGTAATTACAACAATAAAGTAATATAAAAACATACACACACACAAAAAGCAAAAAATGGCAAAAACATAAATGTGCAAGGAATAAATAAAAAATTGTAGTGAACCTACAAAGTGTTCAAAAAGTGAACATCAACTTAAAATAGATTGCCATGAACACAGTTTGTTATATATGGAGCACATGGTAACCACAAACCAAAATCTACCAGAGCCACAAGAAATAAAGAAAAAGGAATCCAAGCACAACAGTATAAAAGTTATCAACATACAAGAGGAGAGCCCTAACTGGTTTGGCTCAGTAGACAGAGCGTCAGCCTGCAGTCTGAAGGGTCCCAGGTTCAATTCCGGTCAAGGACATGTGCCTTGGTTGCAGGCACATGCCCAGTAGAGGATGTGTGGAAGGCAGCTAATAGATATTTCTCTCTAATCGATGTTTCTGACTCTCTATCCCTCTATCCATGGGAGTGGTTAGGGGGTGATCAGGCTGGCAGGCAGAAGCGGTTAGGGGCAATCAGGAAGGCAGGCAGGGGAGGAGTTGGGAGTCAGCAGACCTAGATTGTGAGAGGGATGTCCGAATGCTGGTTTAGGCCCGATTCCACCAGGATTAGGTCTAGACGGGCAGTCGAACATTCCTTGAGGTGTCCCAGATTGGAGAGGGTGCAGGCTGGGCTAAGGGGCACCCCTCCCCTGCCTCCATGCACGAATTTCATGCACCAGACCTCTAGTCCTATATAATAAAAGTCTAATATGCAAATTGACCAAATGGCAGAATGTCTGGTCACTATGATGCGCCCTGACCACCACGGGGCAGATGCTCAACATAGGAGCTGCCCCCAGCCTGCAAGCCCCAGGCCAGCGGGGAGGGGCCCCATGGGTTGCCCCACAGAGGGAGACAATCGGCAATGGCAGCAGGGGGCAGGGTTGGCCAGGGCCTGCAGGCTGGGTAGTGGATTTGATTACAGGTCAGGACACATGCCCAAGTTGAGGGTTCAATTCCCAGACAGGACACATGCAGGAAATTATAGGAGGATTTTTTCCCTACCTACATGTATGTATTCTTAAAATGTTTTACCATATGTATTACTTAGTGATGAGAAGGAAAAAAAATGTATCAAAATGACTACAGCCTGACTGGCATGGCTCAGTATTTGAGTGTCGACATATGAACCAGGAGGTCATGGTTCAATTCCTGATCAGGGAACATGCTCCAGTGGAAGGCATGCAGGAGGCAGCCAATCAATGATTCTCTCTCATCATTGATGTTTCCATCTTCCTCTCCCTCTCCTTCCCTCTCTAAAATCAATAAAAATACATATATATATTTTTAAATGACTACAAACTACTATATTTACTATCCTGTGTTTGGAGAGAGAAGAACATTGCTAAAATATAATTCATCTTCCTGGAGAGGACACAATTGTAAAAGGGACTGAATATAACATTCTTAAAGAATATACATATCAATATTCTTAACAGTACTATACTAATAATATGCCCTTCCATCACTCCAAAGTCAATCTCTTAGGAATAAAGTCAGTCTCCAGTCTAGAAATTTTGATTATAATGACATGAGCACTTACTAAATGTTTATTACATCTGGTACATTAAACCTAAAAAAATGGCTGACCCTTCAAATATACACTAATGAGAGACACTTAAAAGCTATTTATCATTAGTTTTCCTTGAAATTTGGCCTATCTGTAAAATCTGCCTGCTCTGAAAAATCCCTTCCCCACTGAGTGTCACCAAGGTTCTAATAAAGATCAAAGTTCACTTAAGTGTAAAACTTAAGCAGCAAAAATTCTGAAGTCAATATATAAAGCCTCATTAGGCAATATAAATGTAATCTACAAGTCAAGAGAAATTCTCCTTTAAGCAATGCTAGTAAGCATAGAGTTTATAGACACAGATAAGAACAAATAAATTGCAAAATCATCTTATTCTCTAACAGAGTGTTAGCAAGAGTTTATGCCTATCATTCAGAAACTCTGAGGTCAATGTATGACATTTGGAACAAGACAGTAATAGGATCTAGAATCTTTGTAATCAGAATGTCAACCTGACACAATGCGTTATGCCTATATTCTAAAGAAGAACTTGGCTAAAATGGAATTCAGTGAAAGTGGCAAATTCCAAAGGACAAACACATGCAGTCTGTATTACTATAAAATATGTTCTTATATTATGAATTATCTCATACATGATCATGGTAATTAAAGAACTAGTATTCCATCAAAACTATGTTGGTTCATAAGCAATTTTTCCTAGGCAAACAAATAAAGGATAGAGGTAGAATTATGGCCTTCAGCAGAAAAGGAAAATATTCTCAATTTGGTTGCTTGGAATACTTCCAGCTTTACTTTAGGAAAATTTAAAATGAGCACCTGTAGCCAGGGATCCTACAGGAGCACATCTTCCTTAAGAACCTTCGTGGCCCTCTGTTCAAAGCAGGTTAATGCCACCTCTTGGGTTAAGAGATCCACATCAATCTGCATTATGTGAGTATTATAAGCAAGCATTTCTACACAATTATTTTATAAGTTTTCAATATCCTCTAGCAGCCACCAGCCACAATGATTTGCCATCCTGAGGCTACAGGCTATCTCCTGAGATGCCATTTATCATATCTGTTATATGTTCTCATTACAAAGTTACATATACTAGTATTTTGAGTAGTCTACAAACCCTAACTTTGCTATAGTTAAATTTTATGCAACTTAATGGTCTTCAATGGAACAGAATTTTACACCAGTGAATTTTACACCAGTGAATTTTCAGGCTTACTTGTTATAAAATGACTTATAAAATCAACCTAGAGGTTGACAAGAAACAATTTTTTTGGTAAAACAGAATAAAATTTAAAATCTAAGTATATCTCCATAGAGAGGGCAAATGCATTACATGGAACTTATATTTTGGTTACTTAGGCATACAATATGATCCTATATAATAAAAGGCCAAAATGAAAATCGACAGAACTGCAGAAAGGCCAGTTGCTATGATGCACACTAACCATCAGGAGGCAAACGCAACGCAAGAGCTACTCCCTGGTGGTCAGCGCACTCCCACAGGTGGAGTGCCACTCAGCCATAAGCCGCTCATGACTGGCAGGTGCAGCAGTGGTGGCAGGTGCAGCAGTGGCAGGTGCAGCAGTGGCAGGTGCAGCAGTGGCAGGTGCAGCAGTGGTGGCAGGTGCAGCAGTGGGAGGTGCAGCAGTGGTGGCAGGTGCAGCAGTGGGAGGTGCAGCAGTGGTGGCAGGTGCAGCAGTGGGAGGTGCAGCAGTGGCAGGTGCAGCAGTGGTGGCAGGTGCAGCATTGGGAGGTGCAGCAGTGGGAGGTGCAGCAGTGGCAGGTGCAGCAGTGGTGGCAGGTGCAGCAGTGGGAGGTGCAGCAGTGGTGGCAGGTGCAGCAGTGGGAGGTGCAGCAGTGGGAGGTGCAGCAGTGGGAGGTGCAGCAGTGGGAGGTGCAGCAGTGGGAGGTGCAGCAGTGGGAGGTGCAGCAGTGGGAGGTGCAGCAGTGGTGGCAGGTGCAGCAGTGGGAGGTGCAGCAGTGGGAGGTGCAGCAGTGGGAGGTGCAGCAGTGGTGGCAGGTGCAGCAGTGGCAGGTGCAGCAGTGGGAGGTGCAGCAGTGGGAGGTGCAGCAGTGGGAGGTGCAGCAGTGGTGGCAGGTGCAGCAGTGGTGGCAGGTGCAGCAGAGGTGGCGGGAGCCTCTCCTGCCTCCGCGGCAATCAGACATCCCCCAAGGGCTCCCAGTCTGCGAGAGGGCACAGGCTGGACTGAGGGTCCCTGCCCTGGGAGTGCCTGGTCGCCTCTTACTGTTCCTCCCTGCTTCTAAGGTAATATAAATTTCTTCAGTAGGTTATGACTTTTAAAAGCACTTAGTTAATACCAAATTAAAATGTTTATTGTAAAAATAATTCAAAATATTATAATAGATGTCATTAAATGGCTTCAAAATAAATATTAATGTTAACTACTAAATGTTATTAAAAGTTTTCATAAAAATTACCACCATTTTTTAAAGTCGAAGTGCTATTGAAGGAAGCAAACCTTCATTCATATAATTTACTCAATTAACGAGCAATACCTAAAATATTAATATCTGACAAACCCAAAGTATATTTAACCAGGATTTAGATCTGGGTACACAAACAAAAAAATAAACTTATCAAAAAAGAAATTACTTGCCAAGTTAAAAATTAAACTAATTTACTACTACTTTTTTAAATAACCACTCATTTAAATTATTTCATATAATATAGACATATAATAATGACATCTAAAATTTGAATTATTTTTGTTAAATATCTAGGTATAATTTTCATAATATATTTTCATAATTTTTAATACATAAGGTCGCAAAATACAAAGACATTTTGTTTGACAAAAAAAGCATCTCAACTACAATACTGAAAACTGGAAGATAAAACACAGAATTCAGAAAAGTGCAAGTTCATAATCATATGCTTAAAGCTAAATATTTCCAAAATATTAAGTTCATACAACAAACCAAAATTTCTGAATTATATGCTCTAAACATAACCAGAACAAGATAAGTAACGAGAGTTCTCCCTACTGGTCAGTTTTTTATTAGAACTCAAGAGATCACTCTTAATTTGATTGATAAACTAAGTCATTACCTTAAACTGCAAAGATTTTGTTTTATCCACTAATATACTTCCTTGTTTTCCTGTTCCTTTTAATGCTGCCATAGGATTAGAATAAAAAAATGTGAAGCCAGTTTGTAAATACTAAAAAATGAGTTCTAATCATCATCTTTGTAATAAACATGTTTTTAAAAATAACTTATTGAATTGAAATTCATATAACAAAATTAACCATTTTGTTTTTTATTAAAGTATAGTCAACACAAGATATATTACTTTCATGTGTACAACACTGTGATTCAACATTTATGTAACTTATTAAATATAATGCGCTCACCACACTAAATCTAGTAACCATCTATCACTGTACAAAGTTATCATACTATTATTGACTATATTTCCCTTCACCTTTTCACCCATCATCACTCTTCTTCTCTCTGAAAACCATCAGTTTTTTTTCTCTATGAAACTGTTTTTTGTTGTCTATTCATTTGTTTTTTTAATTTCAAATATAAGTAAAATCATGCAGAGTCTCTGTCCTACTTATTTCACTTAGCATAATACCTTCTGAGTACAGCCATGTTGTCACAAGTAGTAAGATTTCATTCTTTTTTATTGCTGAATATATTCCATTTTAAATATGTACCGCATCATCTTTATCCATGGACACTGAGGTAACTTCCATATCTTGGCTTTAGTAAATAACGCTGCAAGGGTCATATGTATGCATATATATTTTCAAATACGTGGTTCTATTTTCCTCAAATAAATACCCAGAAGTAGAATTGCTGGATCACATGATAGTTTTGTTTGTTTGTTTATTTATTTTTTTATTTATTTTAGGAAACCGCCATACTGGTTTCCATAGTGGCTGCACTAATTTATTCTCAGATCAACAGTGCACAGGGTTCCCTTTTATCCACATCCTTACCAAAACTTATTTGTTAGCTTTTTTAAAAAAAAATATTTTTTTGCTAGAGGCCCAGTGCACAAAATTTGTGCAGGGGGGGGGGGGGGGAGTTACCCCTCAGCCCAGCTTATACCCTCTCCAATCCAGGAACCCTCAGGGGATGTCCAATTGCTCACAATCTGGGACTGCTGGCTCCTAAATGCTCACCTGTCTGCCAGCCTGATCACCCCTGTCTCTGCCTTCTGGCCTGATCACCCTTAATTGCCCCCCCTCCCCCTGCGGCCTGGTCACCCCTGACTCCCCTGCCAGCCTGGTCACCCCACACAGCCCATTACTGTGAGGGCGTCCTGACCAATTTGCATATTACTCTTTTATTAGTACAGATTGATTTCAGAGAGAGGGGGAAGAGAGAGATAGGAACATCAATAATGAGACTCATTCATCAGCTACCCCTGAATACCTCCTACTAGGGATCAAGCCAGCAATCCAGGCATGTGCTCTGACCAGGAATTGAACCGTGAACTCATGGTTCATAGGTAGACGCTCAACCATTTGAGCCACATCAGCCAGACTATTTGTTGACTTTAATCCTCACCTAATATATTTTTATTGATTTTTTTTTTTTTAAGAGAGAAAGAAGGGAGATAGAGAACATCAAAGTGAGAGAGAAACGTCTAAGGGCTTCCTCCCAGACTCGCCCCAACAGGGGATCAAAACCTCAACATAAGTATTGACCCAGACCAGAAATAGAACCCACAACCTTCTGGTGTATGGAGTGATATTCCAACCAACCGAGTCACCCAGCCAGAGTTATTTGGTGATTTTTGCTAATAGCTATTCTGATTGGTGTCAGATGACATGTCACTGTGGTTTTTATTTGCATTTCCCTGATGATTCATGATGTTTAGTGTCATTTCTCATGTCTACTGGTCATCTGTATTTCTTCTCTAGAGAAATGTCTCAGCCCATTTTTTGTTATTGAGTTGTATGAGTTCTTTATATATTTTAAACATTAACCCCTAATTGGATATGTCATTTATGAATATATTCTCCCAGACAGTAAGCTGTCTTTTAATTTCATTGTTGGTTTCCTTGGTTTTATAGTTAATACATTTGATTAAATCCCATTTGCTTTTTTGTGCTTTTGTTTCCTTGCTCAAGAGGACATATCCAAAAGATACTAAGTCTGCTGTCAAAAGATACTATGTTTTCTTCTAGAAGTTTTATGATTCCAAGCTTTACATTTAAATATTAAATTAATTTTTTTATTTTTGTATATGAAATGAGTGGTCCCATTTCTTTTTCTTTTGCATGTATCTGTCCACTTCTCCCAACACCACTTGTTAAAGAAATTCTCATTTTTCCATTGTATATTCCTGTTTCCAATGACATAGATTAACTGATTATATGTAAGAGTTTATTTCTGTGCTACCTATTCCATAGATCAATGTGTCTGTTTTTATGCCAGTTCTATACTGTTTTGAATATTATATCTTTGTAGTACAGTTTGAAATTGGGAAGCATAATACCTCCAACTTTTGTTCCTAATTCTCAAGATTGTTTTGGTTATTATTCGGGGTCTTTTGTGGTTCCAAATAAATTTAGGATTATTTGTTCTAGTTCTTAAAGGAATACCATTAGTAGTGTTTTGATAGGGATTGCTTTGAACCTGTAGATTGCTTTGGGTAGTATAGTAATTGTAACAATATTAATCCTTCCAATCCATGAGCATGTTATATCCTCCCATTTATTGTGTCCTCTTCAATCTCTTTCTTCATGATCTTATAGTTTTCTCAGTACAGATCTTTCATCTCTTTGGTTAAATTTACTTTTAGGTGTCTTATTCTTTTTGATGCAATTGAAAAAGATATTATTTTCCTAATTTCTCCTTCTAATTGTTCACTATTAATATATAGAAATGCAATAGACTTCTGTATATTAATTTTGTGTCCTGTTACTTCATTAAATTCATTTATTAACTCTTAATTTTTTGGTAGATTCTTTAGGGATTTCTATATATAGTAACATGCCAACTGAAAAGAGTGATAGTTTAATTCTTCCTGTCCAACATAAATGCCTTTGCTTTTGTTTTCTTATTTCATCACTGTGGCTAGGACCGCCAATACTATATTGGTGGGAAACCACCTATTGGACAAGGAGTCGGAATGCTGGTGACTTTTGAGCCTTGGCTATGCACCTACTGTTTAGAGACAATGGTAGCTGCAGCAACTTCCCCACCAGACAGTCATGTAAATCCTTACTGATAAAATAATCTTTCTGTTACTGGAAATTGCCTGCCTAAAGGCTATAGATATATCCCAAATTGAATAAAAGGATGGCAAGGCCTGAGCCCAAGGGGAGTCCTTCTTCCAGTTTGGTCTCCCAATATTTCAAATTATTATTTCTTGTCTCATCTCTTTCACTTGCATGCAGCCCCTCTTCCAGAGCCAGGATGTGGGTCTTCACAATATTTAATGATAGTGGGGAAATTGGGCATCCCTGTCTTTTTCCTGTTCCTGTTCTTAAATTATTGAGTATAATTTTAATAGCAGCCCTGTCATATAGTGTTAGTCATATTCAGATAAGTTACTTCTATAAGCACTATGTTGAGTTTTTATCAGAAATAAATGTTGAATTTTTCAAATGCTTTTTCTACATCTATTAAGATAATCATATGATTTTTATCTTTAGTTTTGTTAATGTGATGAGTCACATTAATTGTGTTGTAGCTATTGTTCCAAATCCCACTTGATCATAGTATATATCTCTTTTCAATGTATTGCGGAATTCATTTGTATTTTATAAAGTATTTTATTAAGAATTTTACATTTATATTGATTAGGGACATTAACCTGTAATTCTTTTTTATTTTTGTAGTATTTTTGTAATCAGGGTAATAATGGTCATAGAAGGTTAGAAGGCTTACTTCTACCTCAATAATGGCCTCATAGAAGGTTGCATTTTGGGGTTTTTTTATTACTGCTTCAATTTCATTCCTAGTAACTGAAGAATTCAGATTCCCTATTTCTCTCTGGTTTAGTATTGGAAGGTTGTCTGTTTCTAGAAATTTATGCATTTTTTCTAGAATGTCCAATTTGTTGGCATAGTATCCTATCCTATATAATAAAAGAGTAATAAACACATTCACCCTAATGGCGGAACAACCAGTTGCTATGATGTGCACTAACCACCAGAGGGCAGATGCTCAATGAAGGAGCTGCCCCCTAGTGGTCAGTGCATCCCCACAGGGGGAGCTCCACTCAGCCACAAGCCAGGCTGATGGCTGTGAGTGCAGTGGTGGTAGCAGGAGACTCTTCCGCCTCCTCAGCAGCACTAAGGAGGTCCAATGGCAGCTCAGACATACCCTAAGGGCTCTCAGGCTGCCAGAGGGATGTCTGACTGGCAGCTTAGGTCTGATCCCCTGGGAAGTGGGTCTAAGCTAGCAGGTGGACATCCCCTGAGGGGTCCCAGACTGCCAGAGGGTGCAGGCTGGGCTGAGGGATTTCCCCCCCACCTCCCACCGCCCCCAAGAGCATGAATTTTCATGCACTGGGCTCTCTAATTCTTTAATAATCTTTTGTATTTCTGTGGTGTTGGTTGTAATCTTTTACTTTTGATTTTATTTATTTGGACTCACTCGTTTTACTTGATAAGTCTGAATAGAAGTTTGTCAAATTTCAAAAAAAAATCAGCTTCTTTCAAAGAACCAGCTTAGTTTCATTGATCTTTTTATTGTTATTTTTTTAGTTTCTATTTCATTTATTTCTGCCTGATCTTTATTTTTCCTTTCCATCTACTTACTTTGGGGTTTGTTCATTCTTTTCTACTTCTTTAGGTGTAAAATTTGATTGTTTGAGACTTTTTTCCTATTTCCTGATATAGGCCTATACGTCTATGAACTTCCCTCTTAGAACTGCTTTTGCTGCACTCTATAAATTTTGGAAAGTTGTTTTCACTTTCATTTATCCCAAAATAGTTTTTCATTTCCTGTTTGATTTCCTCTTCTATCCATTGGTTGTTCAATAGCATGTTGTTTAATCTCCCCATATCTGTGTTTTTTCTACTTTTCTTCCTGTAGTTGATGTTTAGTTTCCTGCCATTGTGATCAGAAAATATGCTTGATATAATTTTAACCCTTTGCACTCCGCTGTCCCCTCTCAGGGGACATCGGAATTCTAGCATATCATTCGGATGTCCCCTCTCAGGGGAGATTGCAGTTTATTAGTGATTACAGGGAATTGAGTTTCCGCCGCAAAGAAGCGTCGAGTAGCTGGTAGCCAACGTCCAGAATGGTTCGGAGTGCAAAGGGTTAATCTTTAAATTTATTGGTGCTTGTTTTGTGGCCTAATATGTGATCAATCCCTTCACTTTCAGTCAATATTCCATGTGCACTAAAGAATAACATTTCACATATTAGCTTTTTATGTGGTTGACTCTTTGTGTTTACTATATATTTGCTTTTACCAGTGAGATTTATTTTATTTCCTGATTTTTTTTATTTCTGTGATTTGGGAATGAAATGTTTTATAAATGTCTACAAGCCAATCTGCTTTAATGTGACATTTAAGGTCATTCTTTTCTTATTACTTTTCTGTCTAAATAATATATGTATTGAGATAAGTGAAATATTAAAGTTCCAACTATTATTTTATTATTGTTAATTTCTGCCTTTATGTCCATTCTTTGTTTTATATACTTAGGTACTCCTGTATTGGTTGGGTAGATATTTAAAACTTTTATATCTTTTCTTTATTGTCTCCTTTATCATTATGTAGTATCCTTCTTTATCTCTTTTTACATTTTGTTTTAAAGTCAATTTTGTCTGATATGAATATTGCTACACCAACTTTCTTTTTGTTTCTATTTGTATGAAATATCTTTTTCCATCCCTTCATTTTCAGTCTGTGTGTGTCTTTTGATCCAAAGTGATTTTCTTAGAGGATGCATATAGATGGGTCTTGGTTTTTTATCCATTCAGCTATCTGATGTCTTTTGATTAGAACATATAATCCATTTACATTAAAAATAATTATTGTTAGGTATGTGCTTATTGTCATTAGTTCTGCACTTTCTCTGGGGAGGGCAACTCTATGTGTTCGCGAGACTTCACCCTACTAGTTCTACACTTTTTCTGGGCAGGAGAGGTAGTCCCATAGGCCAGCAGCAGCAATCCACTATCTCCGCATATTTCTCTACGGGGCAGCCCTGCATGTGGGTACTGCAGTGCTTTGCTACTTCTACACTCTCCAGGTAGGAAGCCTCCCATGCAGACACAGCCTAGTAGGTGTGCACAAATGCACCCTGCCATATCTACTGGATCAATCTCTGGGTTGAAGGGCCCTGTTCTTGCTAGAGCTAGCTCCAGAAGAGTAGGTGAGGAAGCACTACAGCAACCTGGCAGGTTGGACAGAGCACTCTGATAGAGCTCCCATCTGCTATCTAAGTGCAGGGGAAATCAAAATGACAGTAGCCGGTTTCTCCAGTATTAAAATGTTCCTTCAGCTCTTGTGGTTCCCCAACCATCTCTATGTTGTCCTTCTCTTGTTTGTTGTGCAGAAGCTGTTCAATTGGCCCTCAGTTGTTGCTTAAGCAGAACTGCTCTAAATGTAGGTGTGCAATTGATATGCACCTATATTGGAAGGGGGCAGGCTTAGCTACTACACTGCCATCTTGAACCAAAATTAACCATTTTAAATTGAACAATTCAGTGATATTTAATACAGTCACAGGGTTGTATAACCACCACCTTTATCTAATACCAAAATATTTCCATCACTCCAATGTAAAACTCCTTACCCATTAAGCAGTTTATCCCTACTCTTCCATCCCACAGCCACCAGCAACCATTAACTGTTGTTCTATCTCTGTGATTTATCTATTGTATATATTTCATATCAGTGAAATCAAACAATATGTGACCTTTTGTAAATGGTTTCTTTCATTTAACATAATGTTTTGGAGGAACAGTCACATCACAGTATATGTCAGAACTTCATCCCTTTTTTTGTCTGAGTAACATTCTGTTTTATGAATATACCATATTTTGTTTATCTGTTCATCCACTGATGGACATGTGGATTATTTCCACCTTTAGGTAAATTATGCTGCTATAAATATGTATATACATGAACTAGTTTGAGAATCAGTTGACTATTCTTTTGGGTGTATACCTAGAAATGCAAGATCATATGGCATTTCTATATTTATCTTTTTGAGGAACTGCCAAACTGTTTTCCACAGTGGCTGAACCATTTTACATTCTCACCAGCATGTACAAGGTTTCCAATTTCTCTACATCCCTGCCAATTTTTTTTTCTCCTCCCCTCCCCCAACCCATTATAGCCATCCAAGGGCATGGGTAGTGGTACCTCAATTATGGCTCTGATTTGCATTTCCCTAATGACTAATTATGTTGAACATTTTCATGGACTTGTACTCATAATCTTCCTACATGTGAGAAAACCCCTTGATATGAGACCTGCTTCCCCACTGTAAGAGTGAAAATTCAAATTCCCCCACTCCCTTGTAGCTAGACCCAGGCATGTGATCCAGACTCTGCCAAGTCATTTGCGTACCAGACATATGGAGCTGAGTAGAAACAGACTCTAATTCCATTTTTACTGGTGTAAATAACAAATAGATGACTCCAGCTCTAGGAGATGGAAACAGCAGCAGTTTCCCAGTGCTTCCAAGGACAATTCTTGGCTTATAAGTAGCATCAAAGCATCAACTGAAGTATTTCCTCTAGGGAAGCAACAGCAACAACGGAAGTTTCCTCATCAGCACAATGCTATAAGCTATTAAATATCTATTTGAAAAACTCTTTTTCTATTATATCATTCTTCTGGAAGAAGCATTAGATTTATCTTACCTAACTCAACACTGAATACATAGAATAAATGTCAAGTAGATACATAAAGGCAGGTCTAGGTAAATCTAAGAAAATTTCCTAATTCTTAGATGTCTACCAATTATTTAATTGAATAAATTACCTTAAAACAGAGTAAGCAACTTGTCACTGAAAATTTAATGTTGATATTATATCTGTCAGGAATAATATCAAGATAGATGGAAATTGAAGAAGGCAGCTTTGGTACTTTCTCTCTTCTGTATTTCTACTATGTTTTCTACACAATTTAAATAAATTAAAATTGTAGCCATTACAAATTTATTAACAACTAATTGCAGCTTTTAACATGTAACAATTCATATAAATGTTCCTAAACCTTATTGTTCATTATCTTTTACTTCACTATATAATAAAAAAAGGAATTAGAGATAAACAAAACAAAAGAAATCCATAATCCTATTCATCTGAGAAAAATCACTGAAAATATTTTAGTGGATATCCTTCAAAACATTTTTTCCTATGCTGAAATTCACCTATAAAAAGATTAAAATAAAAGTAAAAGTAATAGCTGGCATAAAATCAGTGATTACCACATGCCAGTCCCTATTCTCAATGCCTATATATTATAATTCATACAATCTTCACATCTCCATCATGATGCAATATTACTATTTTCATTTTACAAATAAGGAAACCAAAATACAGAGAAGAAAAGCAAACTGCCCTAGGTCACTTGGATAACAAGTGACAGAACCACCTAGTAGACTAAATGCATAGTTTGCACTTTAGCACTGTTATAATGACTATACTGTTTCCAAAAAAAACAAAACTGATTAGCCCTGACTGATTTGGATCAGTGGATAGAGTGTCAGCCTGCGGACTGAAGGGTCTCAGGTTCGACCTCAGTCAAGGGCATGTACCTTGGTTGTGGGCACATCCCCAGTAGGGGGTGTGCAGGAGGCAGCTGATGGAATATTTCCCTCTCATCGATGTTTCTAACTCTCTAAACTTCTCCCTTCCTCTCTGTAAAAAATCAATAAAATATATATATTTTTTTAAATTGATCATAGTATATATACCATATAAATAACAATCCTCTTAATACATTATGAATATGTTTCCATTTTAATAAACTTAAAATCCTGACATTGTAGGAAATACTCTATATATTTTAAGATTTATATATCTTAAATTTTTTAATCTACATATAAAATACAAAATTTAAAGAAATCCTTAACATTAAATAATATACCACTTAAATGAACAAGTTGCACCTCAGTGAGGAAACAGCTAGTCTAGACCAGTGATTGGCAAATTCATTAGTCAACAGAGCCAAATTTCAAAAGTACTACGATTGAAATTTCTTTTGAGAGCCAAATTTTTTAAATTTAAACTTCTTCTACTGCCACTTCAAAATAAACTCATCCAAGCCGTGGTATTTTGTGGAAGAGCCACACTCAAGGGGCCAAAGAGCCGCATGTGGCTCACGAGCCGCAGTTTGCCACCCACTGGTCTAGGCCAAAATACTCTAGAATTCTGCCTCTCCAAAAGTTCACCTTTATGAAACGCTCTTGCAATATTTATATATTTCATAATAACATGGTTTTAAACTATTCTTTCTTCCCCTCCCCCTTTTCTTAAAAAAAAAAAAAAAATCAAAGTACCCAGCATACTCTGGTCATTTATAGTAGGAACTCAATAAATATTTATTGATAGACCGGTTAGACAATGCTATGTTGAAATAGAGAATATGCAGAAACAAAGGTTCTCTCATCCTTTCTCTCATTAGGAAACCATATGAATAACCACAAAACATTCCACCCAGATAATACATAGTGACCTAGCACAAGGAAAGCAGCTAATACTGCTACCCACTTTGCCTAAATGCTGAACTTTGACTGTACTATCTAAGGTCAGGTAAACATACAAACACGCAATGTACAAACTAAGTGAACTTTTTAAAAAGAGGGATGGGGCAAAGAATCCCAGTAACTCACAAATGACAGACAAAAACAATTATCTTAAAGGGCTGGCAACATGCAATTCCTAACCAATTTCAATTGGTCATCACACTACACAATGTGCCCATGCCCTGGAAAATCACTCGGTGTTAGAACAGCACTTCACAAAGAAGGAAGTCAGTTATTAATTAACCATAGATTTCAAAGTTTGGCTAATCCTGATGAATTAAGAATTGTGATAGTTCAAAATTTGAATGCTTGATTTTTAAATGTTTTATACAATGTTTAAAATAATATCCTCTCCATGAATTTTCAGATTCTTATCCATGAATATAATAAAAATAATAATAACCTATATATTTTTTTCTGAATCTAGAACCTGTACACTAGAGATAACATAGCTAGTGTGCTTTGACATGCTGGTCCTTGTGCCATGCTCAGCATGGCCACGGGGGAACCTGAGGGGAAGCCGTGAAGGATTAGAAAAGACAAGAGAATAAAGCTGGGGCTAGGTGTGACACTGCCCTCTCTGATGAAGAGACAGCGCTACGGCCTGCAAGCCAAGACTTTACTTTATACAATAGCTAGAGTCCAGTAGGCAAAGTAAGGGCGTGGTCAAGATATTTACTATAATGTTCTTGGGGGTTTTGAATCTTACTCAATTACAGGCACCTGAACTCTATCAAGTCCACATCACTTAGCCATGTGGAACCATAGGTTTGGACCATAAGTCAAGCTTACAACTATAGCCTTTGGCTATAATTGTGCTGGGACTTGCACCTGACTTTGTCACGAGAGGATCATTCCCTCTCATTTTTCCCAGGCTTGAGCCTGTCCAAACGCTGTAGCCACTCTCCACAAGTCCTAATTATTGCAAAAATTTTAAAGATGAACAAATACTACCTAGAAAGTCAAGGTAACTTCAAGACCATACTTCCATTTTCAAGAAAGAATAAAAAGAGGTGATTTCCTGAGAGAAGACTATACGAAAACTGAAGCAAACACCTTAGTAATTTGCAAAGTCTTAACTTGTCTTCTACTACCTGTACATACTTAACATGTGAACTGCAAATACAAGCTGGCCTACCTGTTAAAAGAAAAAGGGAAAGAATTCTTTTCCTAAGGTCTATTTTATGAGTAAAGATAAAGAGGGAACAAAAAAGAAACGGGTGTCAACAGGATAACTACAGGAAATGTAATAAGAATGGATGCATGAATGCATGAATTTGTAGAAAGGAAGATGGGAGGGAAAAAACTGAAGCTATATAGGGATTTCATCACACAATAAATAAGTTCATACTTTCCAAAATGATGTATAAATTCTCACCTCAAAAAACAGTGAAGAAAAATCATAGAAACCAGCAAGTTCAAGGAATCCTGTCATTAACTCCAAAATGAAAAGATACATAGAGATGATTAACAATCCCCTTCAGAAGAATATAAAAACAGCATCATTTCTTCCCCATAAAACAAACATGGCTGGAGAGATGTCTACCATACTGAAGCATCTATTTAATGTATGACCAAAAGTTAGGCAAGACTAATCAAAACTACCTTAACTATTCCAGAATCAAATTGACATCACGGATTATAAATTCAGTGTTCGCTGAATAAATAATACCATTGGTACTTTTTTTCCTCTCAATCCATATATTTTTGCAGAATGTCAGTTGGTTATATTTAGGGAGAACAAGAACTGAACAAATGATATAGTTATCCCTTCAGGTTATAAACTCCCATTTTTCAAAACAATATCAAATTTTTTTCTTTTTTATATATTTTATTGATTTTATACAGAGAGGAAGGGAGAGAGATAGAGAGTTAGAAACATCGATGAGAATCATCGATCAGCTGCCTCTTGCACACCCCCTCCTGGGGATGTGCCCGCAACCAAGGTACATGCCCTTGACCGGAATCGAACCCGGGACCCTTCAGTCCCCAAGCCGAATTGAGCCAAACCGGTCCCGGCAAAACACTATCAAATTTTTTATACCACCATACATAGCAGCTTACCTTTCTCCTCCAGGTTTCTAAACACACAATAAGTTCAGCTTATTAATTCTATGAACTATTTAAATAAACTAAATAGAGAAACAGGATAAAGTGACTGCATCTTATAATTTCACTTGTAAAAATAAATAGTACTTTTTTGTTTTTCTCTAGATTAGACTTTTTCTCTACCCTTATTACACTTTGTTGCCTAAAAGACTTATCAAACAAGCTAATAAAGCATAGCTGCCTCTTCAAGATAACAGTTTAACCTAAAAAAACATTTATCTCAAGCCCAGAAAATTGCCGTATTTCACTCCTTGTACTCAAAAGTGTGAATTGAGATACCATAGCCTAATATGACCAAAAAGAAAGTGTTGATTCATAAGGAATATTTCTCCACACACCATTAACATTTGCTAACTCTAGGTAATGAATACATAGGTTTTGGGTTGTTTCATTATTTTTAAAGTGTTCTGGATATATGGAGAGAAAATAAAACTAAATCTAATGTTCTAGGTTTCTAGCTTGGTTGACTACATTAGTGTTTCTTCAAGTGTGATGCCTGGAGAGAAGCATAAATACCATCTGGGAATTGTTAGAAACAGAAATTCTTGGGCCCCGCCCCAAGCCTACTCAATCAGGGTCCAGCAATTTGTGTTTTAACAAACCCTCCACATAATAATGAAGCATACTTAAGTTTGAGGATCATTTGACTAGATGAAATTTCTTACCATTCATCAGAACAGAAAGCAAGAGAAGCAGGCTGGAACAGAGAAAAAAATTAAGATAAAGAGCCTTGGTACTTTACCAATTCACCTTCTTTTCCCTCCTTCCTGCCACACTCCTAGATGGCCACTGTCTTCCTTATTTCTAATTCTACCCAGAAAATTCATTTAGCACTCAGAAATGTATGCTTCTTAATCTATTTACATTGTACTTTTTAAAATCTCCAAATTCTCATCCCAAAATCTGCATTACAATTACATTATCTGGGAGAGTGTTTTTAAAATATTGGGGGGGGGGGGGGAGAGAATATATATATATAAAATTAAAATATTGGCACCCAGATCCTATCAAATACAAATAAAAATCAGTTTTTCTGGGGATGGGAATGGGCCAAAAGTATCTTTTGAAAGCACCTTATGAAATTCTAGTGTTCAACCAGAACTGAAAATCATTCAGTCTAAATGGAAGTTTTTGTCTCTGTTTGCCTATATTTGTCTATATTTCCAAGTGTAATGAAAAAAAAATATATACTTCTATGAAAATCACAAAAGGGATATTTTCCAAAATGATATTCAAGATAATCTTCAGTGATACATACATATATGACCTTTTTAAAGTAGCTATATATTTACATTTATTGCAAGCAATGTTTTCCATGTAAAAGTGAAGATTCATTATAAAATAAGATTCCATTTTTTAAGTTAATTTAAAAAAAAAAAAAAAAAAAAAAACCACACACTAAAGAGTACTAAAAAGGACAGGGCGAACACTTCAAAGATGGTAAATAAACAAAAAAGTGCCATTAACCTTGACTGATGTTCTTACTATAAATACAGATTCCTGCACTGGCTAGTGTGTTCAGGGGTTAGAGCACATGTGTCAAACACAAGGCCCGCGGGCCAAATCCGTCCCGCCAGGCCTTGCAATGTGGCCCGCACCGCGCTGTCATCACTGCACTCCGCTGCGTTTCCATCACAATGACAGTTTATGACTGTTCAGTAAACCATTCGGCCCGAGATTTAGGCTGGATTTTAGATTTTGGCCCCTTCTCTGATTGAGTTCGACACCCCTAGGTTAGAGCATAGCCCCCCACACTGGAGGGCGGAGGATTCGGTTCGCAGTCAAGGGCACATATCTGGGTTGCAGGTTCGATCCCTGGCCTCAGTTGGGAATCTCTGTAGGAAGCAACCAATTGATGTGTGTTCTTCACATTGATGTTTCCCTTTCTCTCTCTTTCTCTCTCTCTCTCTCTTCCCCTCTTTCTTCCTCTCTCCCTCTCTCCCTTCCACTCTCTCTAAAAATCAATGGAAATATATCCCCAGGTGAGGATTAACAAAACAAAACAAAATACCGATTCCTGAGTCCTACGCCAGCAATCCTAAACCACAAACTTTGAGAATAGAATGGGTAAGAGGAAAAAACTTCCAACATGTAAATTCTACCAAATTTACATTTTTAACAAGTGTTCCCAGGTGATTCTTATTTACATAAGATAAAGAATTGTTCCAATAAAAGGTATTTGAGACTTCTGCCACTAAGCAAAAAAACAAGCTTGGATATAAAAAAGCACCCCTCTCATTCCATTAATTTTACTAACACCACTTCCTGGTCTCACAGAAGGATGAGCTCCAGCTACATCTGCTGAATGAGGAAGAAGTACAGTTTCTGCATTTATTCCTTTACTCCAGTCTTCCAGAAACCAGAACTCATTCTATCGATAATTTCACTCTCCATCCCATCCTCCTTAAGAGCCCTATGCCTTGAGTATTCCCATTTCAATGTGACCATCTCCTATTCCAGTGGTCCGCAAACTCATTAGTCAACAAAGCCAAATATCAACAGTACAATGATTGAAATTTCTTTTGAGAGCCAAATTTTTTAAACTTAAACTTCTTCTAATGCCACTTCTTCAAAATAGACTCGCCCAGGCCGTGGTAATTTGTGGAAGAGCCACACTCAAGGGGCCAAAGAGCCGCATGTTTGCTGACACGGTCATATTCCTTACTCATTCACCTTTCCAGATACCCTGTGAAGTTAAATCTTTTAAAACGTCACAAAATACTGGTACAATCTAATCACCTCGGGTTATATTTATATTCTCAAATGCCAATGATAAACAATATCTATCTATTTAAATTTTAAATTATAGTTAAATGATCATACATGACATGACTATAAACTATCTCAGTAGACAGAATATTGAAATAGATTATAGTTCACATACCATTGGTAGCCAGTGGTCCTCAATCTTGATTATATATCAACATTATCTATAGAGCTTTTAAAAACCCCCATGGAAGCCATGCTCTAGCCCAAACTAAGTAAGAATCTCTGGCAGTAAAGATGAAACAAGGCATTTTTTATTTCCCCTTAAGTTTCTCAAGTAATGCCAACATGCAGTCAAGGTTGAGAGCCCTGAGCCAGTTTTTCAGAAAGATTACCAAGACAGATTTCATAATAATTACCATTATTATACTAGATTCACTCAAATACAGAGACTTTCACAGAACAGTGACTTTTGAAGACAGAAATTCCGAATTCCAACACTAATGAAGGCAATATCAAAGTACATGTTTATATTTATCTTAAGCATTTTTTGTCAAGAAATACTCTATAGTTATTACAGTACTCTGACTGGGCAGGAGTTTTTTTAAAGCCAAACACAATACCTCCAAATATGAACAAAATTTTCATAGAATTAAACTGGCTTATATTTAGACTAAGATAATGTCATTTGTCCACCAATGGACAAGAGAGACACTGAGCAAGAAAGTTAAAATGGACAGACATTATTGTTCATTTGCATGTACCAAAAAGCATATCCAATCTAATAAAAGGGTAATATGCAAATTAACCATCACTCTGTATCAATAGCACTGGGCAGGACGCTGTGTCCCTCGCCCAGGCCACACAGGGAGGGAGGGCTGCGGACACAACGCATGGGGTCCTCTGCACATGAGCTGCAGAGGAAACACCTTTTCTGATCTTCATTGGTAAACTCCCTGTAAGCTGCCACTCACAGTGTTCTTGGTAACTTGGGCAATACGAATCCAAGAAGGTGCCGAAACCTGTTTGGCTCAGTGGATAGAGCGTCGGCCTGCGGACTGAAAGGTCCCGGGTTCGATTCTGGTCAAGGGCATGTACCTTGGTTGTGGGCACATCCCCAGTAGGGGGTGTGCAGGAGGCAGCTGATCGATGACTCTCTCTCATCGATGTTTCTAACTCTATCCCTCTCCCTTCCTCTCTGTAAAAAATAAATAAAATATATTATAGTGGCAGCTTACAGGGAGCTTACCAATTTTTTAAATATATATATATTAAAAAAAAAAAATCCAAGAAGGTGATCTAGGGTTTTTCCACCTCACTCCTAGAGGAAAAAACAAAGGTCTGCTGCTGGAGGGCTAAGAAATGTTATATCCTGCCCTAGCCGGTTTGGCTCAGTGAATAGACCCTTGGCCTGCCAACTGCAGGGTCCGGGTTCAATTCTGATCAAGGGCATGTACCTAGGTTGCAGGCACCTCCCTGGTGGGGGCCCAGGTTAGGGCTCATGCAGGAGGCAACCAATTGAAGTATGTCTCTCAAATTGATGTTTCTCTCTGTCTTTCCCTCTCTCTTCCAAGCTCTCTAAAAATCAATGGAAACATATCATCAGGAAAGGAAGGAAGGAAGGAAGGAAAAAAGGAATGAAGGAAAGAAGGAAGGAAGGAAGAGAGGGAGGAAGGGAGGGAGGAAGGGAGGGAGGAAGGGAGGGAGAAAAAAGGTCATATCCTATGAAAGAGACATCTTGAAAATGCCTAAGGAAAGTTGTCATTTTTT